GTGCAGTGCTTGTGCCTGGTCCACAGATCACAGAGAACAGGGGTGCAGTGCTTGTGCCTGGTCCACACCATGGAGAACAGGATTGCAGTGCGTGTGCCTGGTCCACAGATCACAGAGAACAGGGGTGAGGTGCTTGTGCCTGGTCCACAGATCACAGAGAACAGGGGTGCAGTGCTTGTGCCTGGTCCACAGATCACAGAGAACAGGGGTACAGTGCTTGTGCCTGGTCCACAGATAACAGAGAACAGAGTGCAGTGCTTGTGCCTGGTCCACAGATCACAGAGAACAGGGGTGCAGTGCTTGTGCCTGGTCCACAGATAACAGAGAACAGGGGTGCAGTGCTTGTGCCTGGTCCAGATCACAGAGAACAGGGGTGCAGTGCTTGTGCCCGGTCCTGCCCCAAGGTTTGTCATTAGGCACACGCACACAGAGGGAATGGAGCTGTCTGCTCCACCTGGGATGCCAGGCTTTGACCACACCTTCCTTGTACCTCAGCTGCACAGCCTAGAGCAGGGCACTGTGACCACCCCTCTCTGCAGCTCTAACAACCTCAGCCAGGGACAGCGAGCTGCCATGGGGCCAAGTTCTAAACTCTACACCATCTACACCTCACAAGGCAAGCTACTACACAGAATACAGTGTAAAATGTGGACCTCTGTGTATGTATCCGTTTCTTACAGGGAGAGATCTCAAAAAGAGAAGTGGAGAAATATTAGAAATACTGTTGTCGTTTCAGTAGAAACGGTTTTATTTTTGAGAACAAAAGTAAAATTCGATTTTAAAACAAAATCTGTTTCAAAGCCCAATATACCCATAATTTACATCCCTGACTTAGAACAGATGCGGTGACTGAGTGTCTGTACTTTATGTTTTAGAGACAGTTCGGGAAATCACAACTAACCCGTTTAACTGTGACCAGGGGACTCTGCTTCATGAAGGATCCCAGACCCAGAAAAACACAGCTATACTTTTCCTGTGCGGACCTCGGGCTTCACTTTGATGTATGTGTAGAGCATGTCAGGATACAGATCGTGAAACTTGCCATGGGACCTTTGGGGGAGGCCTTACGGGGAGGGGAGAGGAGGAAGTAGCAGAACACTGCTTCATACATGAAGCAAATCTGAACGGAGGGCTAGTGGGAGAACACGGGGCATGTGTGTGTGTGCGTGTGTGCGTGTGTGTGTGTGTGTGTGTGTGCTGGGAGGGCAGGAAAGGACCAACCACAGACATGGGCATGTGTGTGTGCGTGCATGCGTGCGTGCGTGCGTGCGTGCGTGTGTGTGTGTGTGTGTGTGTGTGTGTGTGTGTGCGTGCTGGGAGGGCAGGAAAGGACCAACCACAGACATGGTCTGCACAGGAGCCCAATGTGAAACCATGACTTTGTACACTGACCAGCAAACAGAACACCTAGTAAGGGAACTTTGGTTGAAAATAGAAAAGAGATACTACAGAGTATTACCAAATTTCGGAGCTTTATTGCATTCCTCACCTATACGTGGAGACAACTAGAAGTATTTTAAAATGATTTCCAACTAGAGACTGACAGAACTACCAACTGTTTTGCTGATAAAATTGATTTTTACCATTCACTTTGCAGAGTTCATATATGTCTTTACATATTCTTTGCCACTGATATTTTAATAAAACTCCACCTGATCGGAAAAAAAAAAAATCCTTCAGATCAAATAAAAGGGTGATGGGATGGTGACAAAGATATTGGATGAAAGTTAAGGCCTGTCAAAGTTTCCCAGCAGCTCTTCCCGAAGTCCAAAGTGGTCGCCATCACGCCTGCGTACTGAATGCTCTTTTTCCACGGGTGCCCTTGGAAGTGTCTGCAGTGCTACTTTTTATGGATGCTAACAAGCTTTTGACCTTCTCGCTCACTGGCTTTTTCCTCTTCTTGGAGAGCAATGTGTGGACCGCCCCAGGCGGCAGCAGGAGGGCAGCCAGCCCCCAGGGCTGCTTACTTGAAGGGGAAGGCTGAGCCTTATCTTCCTGTTCCAAGATCCACGCACTGTCCCTAGCCAAATCCACAAATTTCTGCAGCTGGCTCTGACTCACATTCTTGCTTATGTTGAGAGACGTCTCAAAAGGGTTCTGGATGTACAGAGGAGAGGAGTCGGGCTTGTTCTGCTCCCTTCCCTACAGACAACAAAGACGACACACATGGAAGAAGGGACACACAAGGAGGCATAAGCCAGAGAGCAGACAACTGCTTTCCCAGGGGTCTTGGCTACACGTGCATTTATGAGTGCACATACAACCAGCCTTTTCTTTTTCCCACGTGGTTCCAAGTATTCTCTGAAGAAAACTGCTTAGGTTTATGACTATGAAAGATGATGTCAATGCTCAGGTGGTAGGTATCTGGACTAGATCAATAACAAAAATCCTCTTTACATAATACAACTACTTAAAAAGAGAAGGGGAGGGGAGAGGGAGGGAGGGAGGGAGGGAAGGAGGGAGGGAGGGAGACCACATGCAGTGACAACAGCAGATGACAGAGCTCAGTCAAGTGCCATAGCCCATTTCAGTCCCGTCTCATGACCTGAGCATTCTTTAAGTGCTTTAGAAACAAACCTAACGACAGCTCGGGGGCAGCAGACAGCTAGTTTATAACGAATGCTGACATGTTCTTTACCTGTCGAATATTTATGGAGTTTTTATTGAAAGCGAAATTGCCAAAATACTCAAAAAATTCCTTCAGTAGTAATTCTGCAAGAAAACAAGATAAAGAAAATAAGAGGAAAATCTGTCTAAATCCAAAAAGGAACAAGAAGAAAGGAAAAAGACTTACCTAACGTTTCTGTGTTTCTTGAAGGTTTAATTTTGTACACATCCCGGATAAATGTACAATTGTTCCCATCTAGGATACATCTATCTTCAGCCCCTTAAACACACAGAAACAGAGTTTCATAGTGTACAGTATTTCCTACTTCAGAATAGGAATCTCTGAGTTTAGTCTCATTAAATACTAATGTTCTACTATTAGTCATGTTATATGTAGTTAGTTCATAGATTTTAAAACTCCACTTAAAAAAGATAGGATCAGACAACAGAGAAACTAATGCTACATTTCCTTTAATGTACTAAGATTAACGTCTGGGAACTCAACACTCTGGTCCATCTTTCGAACTAACCGGGTTTCTGGTTAACAATGAAAACCCGCAGTCTCTGCCTTCCACAACAAAGTTCAGGGCATCCTTAGCCACCAGCTGATTTCCTCTCCATCTTTAACTCTGTTCTGCTCTGATCCAATGACATACACCAGCTGTTCTAAGAGGCTCACACTGGACCACTCTTCACTCTCCTAGAAGCACTGGGTCTTGAGATGGGGTCATAGTCCTGACTGTGCCAGGTCCACAGGCACCCATGGGATGGATCTCTTACCTACCCTCATCCACATCCCCATAGACAATGTACAAGATGATTCTCAAACGCAAATTCCAATCTCACACATCTGACCCACAGCACCAGCACCAGCAACCCCCGCCCCCCCAAATGCTTCTTAATTCAAGCCGTCCTCTACTGAATTCACCTGACTGCGTTTTGACACAGGCACTCTGTCAGCAGACTGCCCCAGTCTGGGGATACAAAGACCACTCCCCTATGAAGGCCCTCTTCCAGCCTGACCCACAACCATATGCATTCTAGAGCAGACACTTAATAATCTGAATAACTGTGGAAGTCTAGAATCCCCCACAAAAAAAAACTAAAAAGAGATAATAAATAAGGTTCCTTCAAACCTATCTTTTTTTTTCTGGTTCTTACATTTAAAAAAAAAAAAAAAATCTCAATTACTGATGTGTTTCCCTCCCGCTATGGTGTGTGTGCTACTGTTACAGTCTGAATCTGGAGTGTCCCCCAAAGTCTCAGTCTGGTGCTCTTGGGAGGTGGTAGAAACGTACTGAGGACATACGTGCCCTTGAAGGGAACATGGGGACCCACCCTTCCTCTCATGTCTGCATCCTACAAAGCCACTGTGCCACCTCCACTGGTATGCAGCTTACCAGATACCCAAGCTCTAACAGCAGACAACACACCCACCACACAGCTATAGACACCTGTACTTCTTTGAAATCCGTACACATGCTTTAATATGTCAAGGGACTAACATGATATTTTTTGTGACAGTGTAAGTCAAATATATTCACAGTCTTTTAGCTACTGTGCCTTTTTTTTTCAAGACTGTGTCTCTGATTTAAACTATTACTAACAAAGGGGCTCCATGGAAACCCCTAAACAACCAGGCTATTGGCTGCTCTCCAAAGTGACAGTTAGGCCCTACTGCTGAAGACAACACCCACACAGCTCAGTAATGATGGAGAAGCCAAGCTGGTGCCTGCCTAGAACCTTCACCCTACTGACTAGTGCTCAAGGTACTAGAGTACTCTGTACACTACCCGAGGAGAAAGGAAGACTAACCCAGCTGCAAACTCTGTGCTCTATGATGGTGACCTGCCTGCACGATACACTGGTGCAATACTGGTACAGAAGTTGTGAGAGTATCCAACCACATATCTAACCATATCTGTCCGGAACTAAGGTCCACTTCATGAGGTGGAACCTATGCCCGACAATGTGTAGGTAGCCAGTCTAGGTCATGGACCTAAGGGGAAAACCAAATATGACTGTACCACTAAAATAATGTAGCAATGAAAGGATTCCTAATGACATTCTGCTGTACTCATAAATCAGTATCTCGCTCTGCCCTCATCAGAGAAGCTCCTTCCTGCAGTAGATGGGAACAAATGCCGAGACCCGTAACTGAACAATGTGCAGAGAGTGAGAAACCTTGGAACACTCAGGATGTTTTCATCAAATCCCTGCCCAGGGTTCAGGGAACTCTGCAAAGAGCAGGTAGAAAGACTGTAAGAGCTAAAGGGGATGCAGACACCAAGGAAAGAAGGCCCTCTGGACACAGCAGGACTGACCATGTAAGGATTCAGGCTGTGGCAGCAGACACAGGGCCTACGCAGGTCTACACCAGCTGGGGTCCCAGTACTGAGAGGGAAGTGGACACAGGCCCCACCCCTAGCCCACCAGATGCGATCTCTAACTGATGACCACCAGAAAGGAGTTTTTCCTTCCAATGGAGTGTCACTGAGTACACAAACCACAAGCAGCAGTAGATGGCCAACACAAAACAAATCAATGCTATCTTGGGAGGATTGCTGTCTCACAATGCTCTGCCTGAACATGTTTTTCCCTTACAGATCTTCTGCTTACATATTAGTTTCCAGTTTTGTTCTTATGGGTTTCTGTGTGTGCAAATGTATGTGTCTCAGCATTTGTACATGCTTCTTGTGCTCTTTCTTCAGCTCTGGTTTTTCTACTTCTTTTTATTTATCTTATTTTTTATTACTATTATTTTTAGCTATCTGTCTATATTCTAATAAGACAAAGAAAGGTTGTGGATTTGGGTTGGTGGGGAAGTGGGGAACATGTGGGAGGAGGGGGGAGAGGATAAACCATAATCAAAATATGTAAAAAAATACACATTTCTATTAAAAATTACTAACAGAAAAATGAGCCACATTGAAAATATTCCTACAAATAATCTCAATAAAAAGCCCAGAGACTTTCTCTATTCATGTTCCTTTTACTAAAAAGATCTTATAGAAAATATTGAAACTTGAAAGCGATTTGATTTAAGATAAGGTCACTTTTGTTTTTTGCAAACCTTAGCATTCAAGCCTAACAAATGGTTTGCTTCTCCAGTCTTCTTTTCTCTTCCTGCTCTTTCCTATTTTAGGTGTCACCCGGACAACATGGACATAGGCCAACAGGCTAGGCACCAGCCACCTATAACTACTAAAATCAAAGTGGGGTAAAGATTCAGTGGGAGAAAGGGAGAAGGTTAGTGGAAGGTGGGGGAAGAAGACAAGTGTGACCAGAATGTATTATATACGTGTATGAAATTGTCAACTAAATTAAACAAACAAACAAACAAACAGATAACTGAACTAAACCTAGCAAGACACCAACTATTCTTCTGAGTACCCAGCAGAATTCTTTGTAGCTAGACATAGGCAGGTTTGAAAATTTTAAATGAAAACAAAATAACTAATTTTGAAAAGAATAACACTGTAGCAATCACATTATGCCACATTAAGTGTTACAGTGCTATAACAATCCAAGGACTCAGAGAGAGAGAGAGAGAGAGAGAGAGAGAGAGAGAGAGAGAGAGAGAGAGAACAACTGAAGAGATTCACCAGTCTAGAAACAGACCCACACAAATAAGGACAATTTATTGCCATTGACTTTGGTCAAGGAACAAAAAGAACTACAGGGAGAAAGTGGACCTTGATTTTAAAGCAAACAGTATAAAAAATAATTGGACATTCACATGTCAAAAAGAACCAACTTGAATGGATAACAGGTCTAAGTGTAAAACTACAAAACTTACTAAAGAAAATTTAAGTACCTCATCATGACCTAGGGTTAGGAAGGGTTTACAAAGTTTTATAATCTGTAAAAGAAAAAGCTGATTTCTTTAGACCCATCAGAATTAAAGGGCAAATGCCCAAAGAATCAAATTCATGGGCCAGTGGGACTCCATTTCAAAAGTGGAGTCAGTGGTCCCAAAGCCTGACTGGGGCTGAGAACTCTGAGACCAGACAGAATAATGGTATGCGCAGTAGCAGTCCACCCCTAACACAAATTAGCATCAGTTATTCTTTTCAGCTTCCGAATCCCATGAGCTCCATGATTTTTTTCTACAATGATTTTTCAAAGTTAAAACATCAGTGTAACCAGCAGGAGCAGAGTAAGAAAGGCTGCTTATAAACTGTTCACTGATGAGAATCTGCCTTCACTTTGTTATGTGTCTTCTCTTCCTCGTTTGTCAGCTGTTGGGAACTGTCTATCTGACACATCCATCACTAAATACTTAGTAAATGAAGGACAGCAGGGAGGAGGGCCCACAGGCATGGCCGCTGCTTCTGTTTCAGCCTCAGATCTGAGACCGAGCACCTCTCTACCCTGCTGACTCCAGTCACTAAGTCACTTAGTCCACACACTAAGTCAGCCTTCTTTCAGCTCAACTGTGAACGACATTAACATCTGTAGCATTTCCAGGAAGGGTTACTTTTGATTTGAATTAAGGGAAGGTAATTTAACTGAGGAGAAAGCACATTCCAGGCAGAAAAATCAGTTATGACTAAATATCATGAGAACAACCATAGTACGGGTGGGATGGGAACACATAAGGAGGAATACCAGAGGCCACTAGCTTAGACAACAAATGGTTTTAAATATTAACGAGTAGTTCACAACTTGTTATACAGGAATACAATTCCTTCCAGGATTATTATAAACAGAGAAGACTCACATACACTTCAGAATTACCTTAGAGCAGCATGTACAATGGGACAACTACAAAGATATGAACATCCTTTCTACATGTGTGCTCCTAGAAAGATATTTCTATCCCCTGCAGCAAGCTATCAAAATTTCAATTTATTCCAAAATTAATAGCATTCTGAACTTGAAACACTACACCCCTAGGAACAACTGTCAACTCAAACACACCTATACTGCGAATCTTCAGAACACCAGGAAGCAGTTTCAGGCACCCCAGTGCTGTCTGGAGAGAATCGAATTTGGGAAGCCTGGGGACTGTGATCAGATCCACAGCTGGACCTGCTAAGTGCTTTTTCAACTTCATCTCAGCTGGGTCCACTGACATTACAGGCACAGCTCTCAATTCCCAAGGCCTAGCCAGCAACACCGGTTCTTATGTAATGTCAAGAAGTAAATGACGTGACTTACAAATATACATGCTTTGATTATACCTGGTAAATGTCTATCCAGGGTCAAAAAGAAGGCGGCGGCCACTTCTCGTCTTACCTGCTAGGGATTTTAGGGAATCCAGAGTTGGAAGAATAGGGGGAGATCTTCTCTGGAGGAAAAAGATGACCATCACTGTTAGGGAGAAGTTTGTAATCCACGCACCAGGAATACTGCTTGTTAACGAATGTGCTCGAGCCCAGCATCGCACAGTGAACACCAAGGCTCTTACTCTTGAATCCAGGGAGCCATATATATAAAGGAGTTCGGAACTTTTCAAAGCAATACTTCAAAACAGAAAAGTTAAAAAAAAAACTTCAAACCTCAAGTTAGGATACAAAAGTCAAATAAAAGACACAACTGGGAACAGATCTAAGTATCTCACTGTCTTTTGCTTATATTTTGAACACCATGGTTAAACCAAAAGCATTATGCAGCCAGACATGATGACAAGCACCTGCAAATCAGACTGCATGGGAGGTGAAGGGGGCCAGGAACTGAAGGACAGCTCTAGCTATAAGGCAAGCTGGGGGCCAGCCCAAGTTACTTCAAACCTGGCCTCACAACCAAAAGCCAACCGACCCCACTGTGCATTCATTTACAGTGTTCAATTCGATGTAGAGGCTCGAATATCAAACACACTCACAACAACTGCAACAGTCTTAAGAACAGCGACACCCACAATCAAGCTCTGAAACATAGGGGGTTTTTGTTTGTTTGTTTTTTTGTTTTGTTTTGTTTTTCGAGACAGGGTTTCTCTGTGTAGTTTTGGTCCCTGTCCTGGATCTCGCTCTGTAGACCAGGCTGGCCTTGAACTCACAGAGACCCGCCTGGTTCTGCCTCCCGAGTGCTGGGATTAAAGTTGTGCACTACCATAGCCCGGCTACAACATAGTTTTTAAGTCAAGTTCCTAAACATGTTCCTGTTACTGTATCTTTTTGTGCCATGTTTGATTGACAGCCTCGGGAGGCCTGCTCTTTTCTGAAGGGAAATGGAGGAGCAGTGGATCTGGGGGAGAGGAGAGTCGGGGAAGAGACTGGGAGGAGTGGAGGGAGGGGAAACGGATGTAATATATCAGAGGAGAAAGAGAGGAGAGAAGGAGAGAGATTCATAGTTGTGAAACAGCCAAAATTACTCAAGCCCAATATATAAAACCAAAACCAGCTTGAGGCTAAAGCACCTGTTAGAAATCACACCTCAGAGCCATGCATGGCATGGTGGTGCATGCCTGTGGTTTCAGCTCCTCAGGCTGAGGGTGGCGGATCTGTTCAAGCCCAGGACTTGGGAGACCAGCCGAGGCAACACACCCTACACCCAAAAGGAAGATTAGGTTTAAAAATCTATTTTTAATAAATCTCTAAGTCAAAATGAAAGTTCAAAGATTATTAATTAGAAATATTTTAGAATTAAGTTTCCACTGATCAAAGTGTCTTGTAATTTCTCAAAGAACCAAGAGAGGGCCCAAGAATCATCATGTAACACCCATTTAAACTGGAGCTCCAAGACAACAGCAATGAAAGGTTTTGCATATTTAAATAAATTAAATAAAATTGGCTGAAAAACAAATCAAATCGTGTGAGATCTCTGACATAAGGAAGCATTAATGGGATACAGAAACCTGAAGAAAGCAAGTTATTACAAACCAATCTCAATTCAACAAAGAAAATACATTATTACAAAGATGTTACTGTCCTATTTTACATACATAATATAAAGAAAATATATCCATAGGAAATTCAGTATGTATTTTAATTTTCATATTAAATTTGGTTTAAAAACACAATGACTTTATATCATGTGCCACTTGAGGGTAGTCCAAAAGTACTGAGCACTAGCTTGATAGGTGAACTAACCAAAGCTGCTCTCAACTGGACCTTCTGAAGCCACTTTCAGTCAGAATTACTCATCTAAGAAATAACAGAGTAACTCACTCATCAATTTAGAGTGAGTTCAGGAAAAGTATTCAGAGTATAAAAGAACTTGTTATTCACGGCCCTCTTTTTCCTGCACTGTTAGGTGGCTCGATAATATAGCACAATACACTGAAGAGAGACTTAAGAGTCTCGAGCTGTTCTGAGCATTTTCTGACTCAAGCCACCACATATTGCGTTAGTGTATAACGGAGACAATGCCTAGAGACACTCAGGTGTCAAACTCAAGATGAACTTCTACTTTCTAGTATAAAACGGTACTGCTCATACTTTTAGGCAACACAGGTAAGAATACATTACCAGGGCTGGAGAGATGGTTCAGTGGTGAAGAACACTGATTTTTTTTCCAGATGGCCCAGGTTCAATTCCCAGCATCCACATGGTGGCTCACAACCCTCTAACTCCAGTCCCATTAGACCTGACATCCTCTTCTGGCCTCAGGAACAGGCACATACGTGTGTGTGCACATAGTGCACACAGGTAAAACACCCATGCACATTAAACAAAGATAAAACAATTAAAAGAAGGAAAAGAAGGTGGGAGACAGGGAGGGAGGGAAGGAAGGGAGGGAGGGAGGAAGGAAGGAATCTCATTGTCCTATTAACATCATAACACAATACTCGAATATTTTGTTTAGAAGTATACTAAAAAGTAGAACACTAAAAAAAGATTTCCTACTTTATAATCTAAATGTTCACCTTTAAAAAAGTGTTTTTTGAGAGTTTTGATATAACTTAGGCATGTAGCTCAGGCAGGCCTCAAATATACAATCCTCTTGACTCAGACTCCCCAGAACTTGGACTATAGGCATGTGCCATTACACTCAATTTAGTGAGTTCACATTAAGACAGACAGACAGATAGATCCATCAGTCGGACAATAGGTCATTATTGAAGTATGTCTAAAAGAGTTCCAAGCTACTGTTTCTAAACAAGAAAAGTTAATAACTTAGAACAGTCACATTTACGTGAAAACATTCATGAGGTCATACCTATTGTTAGTGGTCAAATCACACTGAAATCCAGAGGCCTGATGGGAGAATCTTACAAGCGGACATCGCGCATTTAGTATTTTCTGAACACCCACACAGCCAGGGCCAAAATTGTCAAGGCACTCTCCTATTACAGATAGGATCTTCTGAGTTGCAATCCTTTCTGAAGGGACATTTTTCACTTGAAATTCCATTGAAAAATTTCCGACATCCTGAATATAAAAATATTGATAATTATGAGGGGATTTATGGAAAAAGGAATTTTTTAAACTTTGGGGAAAGAATGACTTAGAACTTAAGTCTAAATAACTTCTGGCAAAACAAATCCACATAGAGATAAGTGCAATCATAGCAAAACAGACTCCCGGGTTCTTGACAGCCTTTGAGTTCTGTAAAATGCAAGGCACTAACTTGCAAACACTGATTTTCTATAATTAACATATGCACCACAGTTGTGTGTGTACATAAAGTACTAATGCACACAGAGTCACTTACTACATACGTTCTCTGAACACACACATGCCCTCTCCACATAGCTTTGCACCTTGACGGACCTATGAACTCACAATGTGGGGAGAATACAGGCAGAAGAAGAGCAGATCAACAAGAGAAATTAAGACAGAGGTTTCTTTCTATAGAGGTCAATGGAAGGGCAAACAAAAAAATATTATCTCCATCAAAAAAAATAATGACAATACATTTGAAATCAACTCATCCCAGGATGGTTTAAAAAAAAAAAAAGGCCACCATACTAGATGTAAAGCAAAGAACAATCAGACTGCAACCCACAGAACCAGGGAGGCTATATAGCAGCGGGGACCCTAGGATGACTGTGGCTTATAATAAGTTTTGGGTTTACTCAATTACTGGGCAAGCCTCAATGAAACATTTCACTATTAGGATAAGAATTTATTCTGTATCAAGCTGATAACAGAAAAATAAATAAATAAAAAACGGGGGGAAAAGATGTATAATGTTAAAATATTAACCTCCAAAAAAAAAAGGGTCACCAACTGGCAGACCAGATTCAGAGCAGGTAGTGTAAGAGTGAGGCTGGACGTTCTCATACGCAAAGGAAGTGGAAGATGTACAAATGACACTACAAAAAAACAAAAACGAAACAAACACACAAAACAACAAAACAGTTCTGAGCAGTGGACTTGGAGGGAGAAAACTGGAGCTGTGAGGAATGGCCAGGCCAGGGACAGATAGTGACGTTGCTCCATGCATGCGTGTAGGGTGCCGCCCACAGGGGTGTGCTCTGTGTGTAAACAGTGGCTTCCCAGATCATTTTTACTTTTATTTATTTTTTTTAAAGATTTATTTTTATTATGTATACAGTATTCTGCCTGCATGTGTCCCTGCAGGCTAGAAGAGGGCACCAGATCTCATTACAAGTGGTTGTGAGCCACCATGTGGTTGCTGGGAATTGAACTCAGGACCTCTGGAAGAGAAGTCAAGTGCTCTTAACCACTGAGCCATCTCTCCAGCCCCCCAGATCATTTTTAGGTAAAACCAGAGAGATCCATAGAGGGCCACATCTCAATTCTCTACAGTTCGTCACTGCTTTCAATGACACAAAGAACACGGACAGAGACGAGTGACAGCCAGCCTGGCTGCTGGAAAGAGTGATGACGAGATGCTGGCCCCGGATTCAGCCTCAGCAAAAGAGACAGACAGCTGATGGGAAAACCCACTGAGATCCGGGAGACTGTCTGTTACCAAAGCGTGAGTGAGCTTAGAGGAACAATATAAAAAGCAAGAGAACATGTAGGCCAATGAGATCAACAGACCTTGCACAGAAAGAAAACAATGTAATTACAGAAGGTGCAGATGATGGAAAGTACATCAACAATGGGCAAAGGTAAGACTCTAAAAACTACTTTTATCCATCAAACAAACAAAACTTAGACAAAGTGGGGCTAGGAGAACCGCTCCCTTGGTAGTCAGGGGTCCGCACACAACCAGTGCTTGCTGACCAGCTTAACCAGCCAATCAGTGAGTGCTGAATTCAGTACGACATGCTGTCTCAAGACAGGGGAGAGACATAGGAAGTCACCCCACGTTGAACTCTGGCCTCCACAGACAAGCATATACATGTGCATGCACAGCCCATGTGCATACATACATTACATACTCAGAAAAAACTGCAGAAACAGCTAACTCCGTGAGTGCTTCTCATATAGCACTACATAGTACAAGAAAATCTACTGAAGAGAAAACGGGAACTAAGCATACAGCTCAAACCAGTCGTTCAGACAACAGGAAAACACTACTTGGGACATAGTTACTAATCTTCACTTGTACTGCCTAAATCCTGCAACATATGACTTTCTACCAGGAGAAGCAAAACTAGAGACAACCAAAGGCAGCTGTAAGCTTACTATTCCATTCTAAGGGGTGTTCTGCGTTAAGATCACTGGTGCATTTCATACAAATTTAGAAACACTGAAACTTATTATTTCAATAAGTAAGGGACTCTTCATTTATTCCTCAGTAAACAACCGTTTAGTACCTGTCCATCACTGGGCATCATACATAGTAGTTTGAGAAGTAGAAAAAGGGTCAGCACACAATTTCAACCTAGGCTAAAGAATAAAACCACCAGACAGAGAATTCTAAAACAAGGTGGAGTGCCAAGAAGTCAAAACTGGACAAACTGCATCAAATTTAGGAACTGGGAAAATTGAAGAGTGCTTCAATTGTCACTGAATAATTATTCATTTTTCTACTGGCAAATCTATAATAATCTTAAATGAGGATATATTCTTAAGCCCATAATCTATAAAAGTCTTAAACAAGCATGTATGTTTATTACACTTTCATGAGTTAAATCTATATACAAATGATGTCAAATTACTTCATCACAATGGAGAAAAGCCTTCTATCATTAACTTTTTCTAAATACTACCACAATACTTCAGAGACTTAAACAGTTAACTAAAATCCATCAACAAACTTCTGCTTTCAACAGAGAAAAAGTGTTTCCCCTTATAAAAAGGTAACATAATAATCTTTCTGGGGATGGAGAGCACTTGTGTCCAATCACTCAGGTTTCCCATTAGTTAGTTTAGTCAAACTCCTCAAACTCCTGAGTGAGTTGGGAAATTTGAGACAAGGCAAACCGTTTACCCAAGACCACCCTGCTAGTAAGCAGGATTCTGACTCTTCAGCTGGCTCCAAAGCCCAATCGAACACCTATGATGGTGCTTTTTGGTGTGATAAAAAGAGTCTAAATTTCATTTTTCTGATGGTTATATCACTCTACAAATACAGAAATAATATACTTTAATTGTATAATTTAATTGGCTAAGTCACATATTCTGTGAAATATGTCTAATAAATAAATAAAAATAGAAGTGTCACATAATTTAGGTGCCCATGCCAGGAATTTAACTCAATTTCCAAAGCATGTTAGTCTTACTAAATCTGGCCCATTTAAAGCTGCTGTCTTTCCTACTCCTTGCTAATTTCAGTTCCATGAACATACACAGCTTTGTGGACGCCACGTCTAGAACTGTAATGGAAGTAAGCACAGACACACACCTGCCCTGCTCAGCTCATGACACAGAGGGAGACAGTCACTTTGGCCACTACCTAACATGTCAGACAGGAAGCGACCCTACAGACAGAAACACCAGCGAGGAACGAAAAGGACAGTGGGGGCGGTTCATTGTCAGCAGGGTGGAGGGAAAAGCAAGGCTGGCTTCAAGAAGGCCGAGGCAGAAGTCGGCCTTAAAACTAGGAGACAAATCTGTTCAAGGCCGGGCTAACAAGAACCACTCAAGAGTGGGAAGAACAATCTAAGATTGTGAGAAAACCAAACCCTACTCTAAGGTAACTCCTGGACAGGTCCACAGTCACAATACCGAGCGGCACACAGAAAGAAGTAGAAAACAGCATATTTCAAAAGTCTATTTGAAAGTACATAAGGGATCGTGTGACTATCAACACAGCAGGTAAATTAAAACAAGGAAAAGAAGGCAGCTGGCAAAATTAAAATGGTACTAATCCTGAAACACACCTGTGTACAGACATGAACATCAGCGCTTCAGACCCTGAGGAAGAGAGCTTTACTGCACATGTAGAAGAGACACAGCATGAGGCCCATGATAGACAACACGAAGAAATACTTTACAACTCCAAATAATCCAGACAGACTTCATTTTTCAGTCATCTTTACTAAGTTAGAAGTCAACAGCTATAATTTTATTATGTCCAAAGATTTCCTAAATTTTCTAATTTCTTATAGTGGTGCAAAGAAATAATTATTACCTTGTGAACATTGAGTTTTCCAACTTCATCTAGATCTAAAAACATGTCCAAATCACATCCTAATTTGCCAAATGTGTTCACTGAGGAGCCGAAGGGCCGAACAACGCAGCCGGGAAAATACGCAGCAGCTATGTCCTCAATGAGGGAGCAGGTGAGATGGCGGAGCCTGACATTCTCCTCTGTGAGCTGGAAGGCCTTCAGGAGCGTGTTCAGCTGATCGTCCACCTAGCTGGCCAAAGAAAGCAACAAAACACACAGAGGTCTGTAAAATAATGTCATCTGTAAAATAATGTCATCTGCATAGCTTTGGAGATTTACCTTAAAAATACAATTATTTTCTTCTTCAGTCTTAAAAGTAGATTTAAAAAAATGTATTTTCATGTATGCACTCACACATGTATACATGTGTGTGTATGTGGGGTGTGTGCAGGGGTATGTATGTAGAATGTTAGTGTGCACAGGTACTTTCACCTCTTCATTCATGAGGAGATCAAAGGTCAACATTGGGTGTCTTACTTTTTGAGACAGGATTTCTACCTTGAACCTAGAGATCACTGTTTTAGCTAGACTTGCTGGCCAGGGAGCCGCAGATACACCACCATCCCAGTGCTGGGATTAGGCACATGCCACATTGCTGCTTTCATGTGGGTGCTAGGGATCCAAACCTGGGCCCCCACACTTAAAGTTGATTCTTAAAAATACTACCAAAAGCACTAGCAAAATACAGCTTGGTTAAACTACTCTTTGTAAGCAATAAACATAAAGCACTCTTTTAGAAAAAGTCAGAAAGTACTCCAAAAGAGGTCAAAACAAGCACAAAGGTCAGAGGGCAAGAAACACTGAAATTCAAATGTTAAAAGTCCCACATTTTTTTTTTCACAAATGAGCCCACTGACTCCTTAGAAGACTGATATTAAGGGTTAAACTAATCAAGACTCCAAAACTGCACTAGAGTTGAATATTAAACCACAAATCAGAGCTTTCAATGCCCTTACTGAAAACAGTCCTGCAGGTAAAGGAATTGAGCACTAACCAAAAAAATAAGTCAACGGAAGTGGAAGAAATGTGGAGGCTAGAAGCAGAATTTTAAAAATCAGAAAATCAACCCAAAAAACAGTATTTAGATAAATAAGTTGATTCTTTGTAAAGATCACTAACCTAGCTAAAAGTCTGATTAAATAATAAAAACACTAGGATAAAAATATAAAACTAGGCTGGAGAGATGGCTCAGAGGTTAAGAACACTGGTTGCTCTTCCAGGGGTCCTGAGTTCAATTTCCAGTAAACCACATGGTGGCTCACAACCATCTATAATGAGATCTGGTGCCCTCTTCTGGCCTGCAGGCAAACACAGAACACTGTATACATAATAATAAATAAATAAGTAAATCTTAAAAAAAAATAAAAATATAAAACTAGAAATAAGATACTTTAGCATTTACAGAACATGATGTAGACAATTATTACACTAAAAAGAGAGAAAACATCTGAATTGTCCAAAAGGGCCCCAAACTTGGGCAATCGGTGGTTTACCAATAAGGCACACAACGGCATGGAGAGTTGCTAGGTGCAGAGGGGAGACTTTTATTTTTCATTCAACAAATTCTGTGGTGTAGATTTCTTTTAATTACATGCACACATGTATGTCTGAGAGAGAGAGAGAGAGAGAGAGAGAGAGAGAGAGAGAGAGAGAGAGAGAGAGAGAGAGAGAGAGAGAGAGAGAGAGAGAGAGAGAGAAACTATAAACTGCCCCAGTGTCCAGAAGAAGGGTCGGATCCCCCGGAGTTAGAGTACCTGACATGGGTGCTGGGAGCCCGACTTGTCCTCTGCAAAAGCAGCAAGTGCTCAGAACCTCTGAGCCATCTTTCCAGCCCCCAGGTAGAAAGAATTTCTTAAAGCAATTCCACTCATTAATAAAATTAAGAGTTGTAAAAAAAATTAGCCAAGCAAATACATGTTTTAAAGTACATCTTGACCAAATAGATAAAGTCTATGAATACAAGAATGGCTTGTAGTAAGGACATTTAAGACTGCAATTCACTGCTCTGAAAGAAAGCAGGAGGAAAAACATACAAGAATTTTTTGAGATCCCTTGGCAGTTATCAAGATAACCTCAAAGACTAAACTCAACAGCTATTCAATAGGCTGCATCTACAACTCCTAGCAGAAAGCTGTCCTTGATAGAGCTATGCATCGATCCTCATCATTCACCTCTATCTCCTTTCACCTCCTGAAACTAAACCCTGTACCTACTAAACCATAATGGAGCTGAGTATCAGAACTTTTCTAATGCACGAATATACACTTAATAAGTCTCAAGTATACATGTAAACTTACACTTTCTGCATAATTCAGTAATTCAAAGAGTTTCTTGCTTGAAGGAGGTGACTGGTTGTTTGTCTGTGCATATGACTGTTCAGGTATCTGGTTAGATGGATTCTTGAGCTTTAAGTTCAAGAAACGTGACTTAAATGGAATTGCAGGCTCTGTTCTCTGGTTTGGAGTATGCGTTCCATTCTGCAATGAGTTTACACTGTCTTTTTGGCAAAATTCTACAACAGCATAGAGACCCTGTATGAAAGGCATAAGAAAAAGAAAAAAGAACATGTTTCACAATGTTATATTCAACACATTAATACAGCATTTCCCAAACAATTATATTGTTACAAAATACTACATTTCAAATTTTATAAATGATATACTTCTAAGACAACTCATTACAAGTAAATTAGGAAAAGGAACATTATAATACCCTGAAAAGAACATTGTAACAGGACAAAAAAGCTTAGATCCCTTTGTCAATATCTTTGTCAATATCTACAGCACTAGACTCTAGGGCAGCTGCTCACAAGTCATGGGTCGATCAGATATCCTGTATATCAGATATTTACATTATGATTCATAATAGCAGCAAAAACTAGTTATGAAATAGCAGCAAAATAATTCTAAGGTTGGGGGGTCACTACAACATGAGGAACTGTACTAAAGGACCGAAGCATTAGGAAGGTCTTCAGATTATGGAATCACTCCATTAAAAGTTACTAACAACTCAGGCTTGCTTTACTGCTGTTGTTTTTGTTTTCGAAATGCTGGGGACTGAACCCAGGGTCTCCAGGATGCCAAACAAATGCTTAATTACTGAGCTACATCCTAGGAACAATTCTAAAACACTGCAATAGGGTTTCTTTTCTCATACACAAAAAGGAAAAGCCTCATTAAAGAAATCAAGGAACAGGTAGAATATCAAGAGATCTTTGTCCACACACTGCACACAGCAACAAAAACTACTTTCAAAAGCATAACCACCAAGTTAGACAGGTATTAGATACATACAAAGCTCTCATAGAAGAAATGATTATTAATTGGTCCATGCTGGGATAAATACTTGAGAAACTTTTTCTCATTGATATTATTTGGGCAATGTATCAAAACAGTCCGCTGAGCCTGTTCTCTTCTCTCCTTCTGCACCTCAGAGAATCTCCTTTTGAGGGTCTGGTCTTCAGAGCCTACAAATGAGACAAAAACATTTCTACTAATACACATAAAATTTAAAGCATATATTGATTTAAGTATATGAAGATTATACATGTGATTAAAACCATTTTATCCTAATCATATATCTAAAATGTATTTATTTATTGTGTGTGCACATATGTGCCTATGCATTGGCATACATGTGGAGGTCTGAGGACAACTTTTAGAGTAAGTTCTCTTCTTCCACTATGTGGCTTCTAGGGCCCAAACCCAGGTGATCAAACTTGGCCATGAGCCCCTTTTTAGCCTAGCTGCATGTTTTATCCTCTCTTCTTTTTAAGGTTTATTACGACAGATTGCTTTCAATATTTATCTAATGATTTTTTTTAAGACACTCTGTAGCCCTGATTGGCCTGCAACTCACTATGTAAACAAGACTGGCCTTAAGCTCAAAGATCCTCCTGCCTCTGCCTTCCAAGTGCTGGGATTAAAGGTGTGTGTCACTACATTTGGCTTATTTTACTGTTCTCTGTGATATCACTAAAATTGTGATTTGGAATACTTGAGATATATTGCTGAAAACAGTTCTTCAAGACCCTAAAAGCAAAAATAAGAAAGCAAACCATTCATTTAACATTTCCACAAACACATACATACAAAACCTGTACAATCTATAATATTGAAAAGCCTAAAGAAAATTAATACAAGTCTAAGTGTAATCAAACAATGATCTTAAGGCATTTAACATACTGTAATACGTTACTATAAAGATTTTTCTCCATCTAAAATCTTGATCTGACTCAAAACAATTAATACCTAGTTTCCATTGATTAGGCACTCTATCACAGGGAAATTAAAACATTAAAATCTAAGGCTGGAGATGTTATTTCAGTTAGTACAGTACTTGCCTAGCATGCACAAGGCCCTGGGTCCAATCCTCACTACAACATAAACTGGGTCTGAAAAGTGCATTTTCATATTTCCATAGAAAAGAGGGAGATTTGGGTTATTGACAGTACAAGCTGCTGGATCCAAAACTGTCCTCATCAAAGCCAAGTCTCTTAAGGCATAGAGAATGCTGGCCTTGACCTGCTCATCATTTTTAGTGAGGGACCAAACAAGTAGAACTTATTCTTCTCCTCCTGTACTAGATGCCGAAGACACATTCTCTCATACGTGCCCTCCTCTCCACTCCACATCATTCTAACACTCATCTCAGGCCTGTGCCCTCACAACAGCCTGACACCAAAACTGGTCTCAGGCACTCCTGTTTTGTCCCTTGATCAATGTTCCACACTCTTGCCAACAGGACCTCTTCTACCTGTAAACTGAAGTCTCAACACCACAGCCCAAGGTGCCTCCTCTCCTCAATGTCAGTATCTTCCACCTCTGCTCTCACACATGGCACTGGACACACAATACCATCACATGCTAACAACTTTCTGCCTTTCGTGCCCTGCTGGAATGCCCACCTGCTCACTTTCTCTCTGGCCAACCTCCATTCGGCCTTCAAATTTTGCTCAGGTGTGTGAAGACTTCTGACACTCCACAGTAGACTGTCTTCCACCTCTGTATTCCCCCACTTCAGTATCTATGAAGGAGCGCAATTCATAGGATCGTTATGTAACACTTATTTAACAGTCTGCAAGACCATCTTCTTCCATGGTAAGGCCGGAGACTACTCTACTTCGTGTCAATTTGAGCTTCTTGTTCTTCTTTAGTCCTCATTCTCATCTCTTTTTTGGTTGTAATTACCTTAGACATTCTTGCTTCTCATCTTCACTCTGAGTCTAAATTGGTGTTCAACTGTTGCTATAAAGGTAAGGTCAACAGTATAAGACTGTACAAATTGGAAGCATCAATCTCTTCTTGACCTCTTACTTTAATAATAGCTAAGATACACTTACTTCTCTTTTGAGCCATCTGGTTACTTGCTATGCCCCTCAAGAGTCCCTGCATACTTATTCAGTTGCCTTATCCTAATGATGCAAATGTACAACACAATCTACAGTAAAGGAAGAGGATGGCCTCAAAGTCAGGAGAGTTTGATTGCTGTTTCTGCCACTGTATGGATGGGAAAGCTTGAACTTGAAAGTCAGACTTGCTTTTGTTTTTCTTCTCATCTATAAAATGGAGTCACAGGACTGAGGAGATGGCTCAGTGGTGTGATTGCCACAGAAGTTTGAAGACCATAATTCAGATCCCCAGAACCCAAGTAAATGCCAGGCAGGTGTGCAGGCCCACCTGTAAGAGACAGCGGGTTCCCAGAGCAACTACTGACTCAAGTCGCTTCTTCAGGCTCTGGGGTTTGATTGAGAGATCCTGCCTCAATGAACAAGGCAGAAGGGCAGTACTGATGGCTCTCCACATCAACCACACACTTGGACCCACGTGTGCTTCTACTCACACACGTGCCCACACACAGGCTACCATGAACACACACATGCACCCCACACACAGAAAATGAAAACAGAAAAAACTGAAGTTTTACTAATTCCCTTTGTTCTACTCTACAGGCTTGCTTTGTGTCCCAAAGAACATATAAAAGTGCTCTCAAACTCAAGCCACCGTACAGGAGACTTGGGCAGAACCCTTCTTTGAATTTTCAGGGTTACTTAAAAACTTTCAACAGAAGCGGCTTCTCTTAAACCCAATCCAATCACTATTTCAACACGCAGCAAACTTCTTGCAAGGCTGTTCTAAGAATTCTGAAAACAAGTTCTTGGGACACAAGAAAGGTTCAATGAGACTGGGATCTCAATAGACAAGGTGTATACATTTAGAAGGTTCCTGTTAAAACAGCGGTCGAAAATCTGTTACCAAACAGGTTGTACTGAAACGCCAAAAGAACAAACAGATATTTTCATAGGCAAAAGGTGCCGGGAGTCAGGAGAACTGGCTGCTCAGAAGGCTTTGGTGTACTCAGCCTTCAGCGACATCTTAAGGGCATCGCACTGGCTAGTTTTACGTCAACTTGACACAAACTAGAGTCATCTGAGCCGAGGAAACCTCAGTTGAGAAAATGCCTCTATCAGGACTGGGCTACAGGCAAGTCCGTGGAGCATTTTCTTAATTAGTGATTGCTGTCAAAGGGACCAGTCCGTGGTGGGCGGTACCACCTGGGCTGGTGGTCCTAGGTGCTATTAGATAGTGGACTGAGCAAGCCAGTAAGCGCAATTCCTCCATGGCCTCTGCATCAGCTCATGCTCCAGATTCCCGACCAGTTTGAGTTTCCGGCTTGGCTTCCCTCACCGAACTGGGAGGGGAAATTTCTAAGTCGAATAAACCCTTCCCTTCCCAAGATGCTTTCGGTCATGGTCTTTCCTCACAACATTAGTAACCCTAAGGCTGATTATCAGGATCAGATGCACTGGGGTCAGGGATGAAGCAATGTTGACTGTTATTACTACCACCGCACACGGCTTTTTGTACTGAACTATACAGCACTCGCCAGCTGTTCCTGGCCTAAACAACTCCACTGCTGTGCGCGGGACTCGTCCTCTACAGGGACGGACTTCCACCTGGGTTTCCACCGGGTCGGAAATCCGGCCCCGGGGCCCGGGCCGCTCGCCCTCCGCCCGCCTCGGCCGCCCCCGTCACCTGTCTCCGCGCCCCCCGAAGGCTGCTCTTCGTTCCCGAAGTTCGCGGCCACAGTCCCGGGACAACTGAGGGGCCTGGAAACAGAACGCTGCACTCGGCTCCTTCGCTGGGAACGCAGGGGCAAACGGGTCAAAAGCCCCACGCCGCGAGCCGCCATGGTCAAAGCAGCAGGAAGTAAACGGCGAAGGTTAGCGGGCTTCTGAGCATGCGCGCCTAGAGACAGGGACGACGGGAAGCCCATTGGGTCAAACTGGGGGGGAAAAAAGTTTCTCTTTGAAAGCAAAAACATGGATGCCAAAATGGAAAGCTCTGATTTTTTTTTTTGTTGTTGTTGTTGTTATTGTTTGTTTTTGTTTGGGAGTGGTGGTTTTTCGAGACAGGGTTTCTCTGTGTAGCTTTTGGAGCCTATCCTGGAACTCGCTCTGCAGACCAGGCTGGCCTCGAACTCACAGAGATCCACCTGCTTCTGACTCCCGAGTGCTAGGAGTGCTGACTCCCACTGCCCGGCAAGTTTGCATATTCTTACATGGTCTGAATTTAACTGTCTGCCTGCCTCACTGTACTCTGGTAAGGTGTACATTATACAGAGTTAAACTTGTGCTTTATTCACATTTTGTTGAGGAGGAAAGTGAATGAGCCTCAGGAGTCAGACTCAGGTCGGACTTCCAATGTTATTGTTTTGACCCAAAATAAGCACTACAGTATCTTTTCTTAAAGTGTTAAGTGCTACTAATCTTACTAGGTTTGTATGAATAGTAAGTTACTTCTATAACTGACTCAGATTTTAATTGTATTCACCCTAACTTTCTCCATTTGTTCCTAAGCAGGTTTTACTAATTGACCCATATTCCTGCATTCCACCTCACAACAGAGGAAATTTTCAGTTTTTCTTTATTTGTAAATTATGTGTATGTGTCTGTATATAGGTTTGTGCATGTGAGTGCAAGGCCCAAAGAGGCCACAAGAGGACATTAGATCTCCTGGGGCTGGAGTTACCCTGAACTGTGATCCACTTCACGCGGGTGCGAGGTACCAAATTGGTCCTCTGCAAAAGCAATGTGTGCTCTTAACTCCTATCTTCCCAGACCCTCAATAAATTTAACTAATGTCAATTAGTTGGAAAAATAAAAAAATGTGAATTATCAAAATAAATATAATGCCTAATATTTAAAATGTATCGAATATGGTATACTTAAAATTACTACAAGAAAAGCTGGATACAAGTCAGCCCTGTAATCTTACAGCACTTGGAGATGGAGTTAGGAGGATCAGAAATTGAAGGTCTAGGTTCATAGACAATTCGAGGCAGGGTAGGCTACATCAAACCATGTCTCAAATAAATAAAAGATTATCCCAAGGAAAAGATAACTTCAAAGGTTTTATCATATGTAATGTGTATATATTCTGTGTAAGTACCTTACCTTTGACACTCCAATACATATTGTAGTAAGATATTTGTACTGGGATAAACAACAAAGCACTTTTCATTTTTATTTTCAGACATTGTTCTAATCTGTATTTACTCTTTCAGTCTTAACAACCCCATGAGGTGAAAACTATTACCTCCATCCATTGCCTATGGAGGAAGTAACACTCCCGAAGTCACAGGTTGCACGAATTCTAAATGGTCTTATAATAAAAACTGGAGCCAGATATCAGTTGAAAGATCAGAGAGGCAAAGCAAGCCACAGCCACCACCTCTTACCTCATCAACTCCTCAGCCTGAGAGGGTGTGAGTGAGCTCCTGACTCCTCCTGCCTTATATTCCTTTCTCCATCCAGCCATATCACTTCCTGTCTCAATCTTCCTAGTGCTGGGATTAAAGGTGTGTGCCACCACTGCCTGGCCCCTATGTTTAATCTAGCGGCTTGTTCTGTTCTCTGATCTTCATGGAAATTTTATTTGTTCATAATATCACCCAGACAGGAGCTAAATCTGAGTGACCCACAGAATTGTTTCTTCATTTTTATTATGTAGAGTCACAGTTTTGTAACAATCTCCCTGATCGTGTTTATAACATTTTAAATCATTTTATCTAAGCTCTTTGGCTCTCTTACCCATTCTGTCCCACCACAACCTTATGCACTGACTTTCTTTCTCTGCAGAATGGCCAATTTGGACTATTTTGTTTAACTTAAATCATATAGCATGCAAACTCTCACAAAGAGAGTCTTTCATATAGACGATGTTTGCAGTCTTCTCCCTTGCTGCAACATCAGTCCTCTTCATAGACAAATGACATCCCATAGCGTCTGTCTTAGTCAGGGTTTCTATTGCTGCAACAAAACACCATGACCAAAAAGCAAGTTGGGGAGGGAAGGGTTTATTTGGCTTAGACTTCCACATTGCTTCATCACTGAAGGAAGTCAAGACAGGTTCTCAAAGATCCTGGAGGCAGGAGCTGATGCAGAGGCCATGGAGGGGTGCTACTTACTGGCTTACTTCCCCTGGTTTGCTCAGGAACCCAGGATCATCAACCAGGGATGGCACTACCCACAATGTGCTGCCTCCACACCCCCTTGATCACTAATTGAGAAAATGCCTTACAGCTGATCTTAAGGACACTCGCTTGTGTCAAATTGACACACAAACTCGGCCAATACAATGTTGATGTGCCAAATGTACTCCATTTATCAGTTTGTGGGGCTGGGTGGATTGTTCCTACCTTTTGACTGTTATAATTAATGAAGCTAAGAATATTCAGATATGATTTGTATGTGTGAGTGTGTGAACCTGAAGGTCAGAGGTCAACACCAGGTGTCTTCCTCTATTGCTCTCTATCTTATTTTTTGATAGTGTCCCTCATGGATCTGGAGCTCATAGTTTTGTCTGGAGTGTCTGAGATCCTCCTATCTCTGTTTTCCTTCACCTGGAGCAACTGAACTAGACTTGGATCCTCTGCAAAAACAATATGTATTCTTAACTGTTTAGCCATCAACCCAGCCCCTGTTTTAACACTAAAAATGTAATATTTATTTTGCTATGATTTATGCATATATGTGTGACAGATAATATATATGCACACATATATGGATGCCCACAGAGGCCAGAGAGGGGATAGGATCTCCTGGAGCTGAAATTACAAGCAATTGTGAGCCACTCAATGTGGATGCTGGAAACTGAACTAGGGTCCTCTGAAAGAACAGCAAATCTCTCCAGCTCCTGTCTTAACCTTTTAAGGAACTCCGAGGCTGCAGTAAGCTTTTTTGTTGGCCACCAGCTCACAAATAATGACACGAAGACTTCTTATTAATTATGAAAGCTTGGCCATTAGCTTAGGCTTGTTCCACTAGCTCTTATAACTTAAATTAACCTGCTTTTCTTAATCTACATTCTATCACCTGGCTTGGTTATCTCTACTCTGTGCTGTATGTCTGACCTCTTCAGTGTCGCCCTGGCATCTCCTGCATGCCTAGATTCTTCTTCTCTCTCAGTTCCTCTCTTTCCCTGGAAGTCCCGCCTATTCTCTCCTGCCTAGCTATTGGCCATTTAGCTCCTTATTAAACCAATCAGAAGGCACCTTAGGCAGAGACACATCTTTACAGTGCAAACAAATATTCTGCAACAGTAGGGTTTATCCCAAAGGTACTGTATGTACCCTTTCCATTGCCACCAGCAATACACAAGGTTTTGAAGTTTTACACATTCTTGACAATATTTGTTAATTTTTGCTTTGTGATATTAATGACTTTTCTGTTGCTGTGATAAAACACCATGACCAAAGTAACTTATAGAAGAGTTATTTTGGCTTACAGCTCCAGATAGTTAGAGCCCGTAATGGCAAGGTAGACCAGATAGGCATGATGACTGAAGCAGGATGCTGAGAGCACACATCTTGAACTTCAAGCACAAAGCAGAGAAAAAGCACTGGAAATAACTCAAGTCTTTAGAAACCTCAAAGCCCACCCTCAGTGACACACTTCCCTCCTGCAGGGCCACACCCCCTAAACCTACTACCAACTGGGACCACGTATTCAAACATCTGGGCCTATGGGTAACATTACCAATCAAACCACTGCATTTTTTTTTAAATCACGCATCCTAGTGGATTTGAGGTGATGCTTAGATTTTTGATTTTCATTTATTTCCCTGATGGAGGCTGAGCATCTTTTAATGTAATTCTTGGTCTTTGTGTATTCTCTCTGGAGAAAAGCCTATTTCCATGCTTTGCTTTAAAAATAAAAACAAAATACACAAACAAAAAGCTTGAACTGTCTTTCATTACAGATCTGGAAGAGGGTTTTCGTGGGGGACTAGGGTTGGTGGGCCCTGTGTATTTAAGAGTTGTAATATTTTCCTGTGAAGGTCGGGAGTCCAAGATTTTGTACCTTTGTGTAAGTGCTCTACACCGAACTGCACTTCCAGCTCCTGAGGCATTCTCTATGTATTCCTGAGAAAAGACTTAGTTTGGATACGAGACTTTTGTATTTGATTTGTAAATATTTAATTCCGGTCTGTGGTTGTTCTTCACTTTAAAAACAAGTCATCATATGTGGGGGAGGGGGGGCACGTGTGGAGATGAGAAGACAGTTTACAAGAGTTGATTCCCTTCTTCTACCATGTGGGTACCAGGATTGAACTCAGGGCATCAGGCTGGGCAGCAATGCCTTTACCCACAAAGGACTCCTGCCTGCCTCCTGTTATCATTTTCTTTTGTTTATTTGTTTGTTTGTTTGTTGTTGTTGTTGTTTTGCAGCCTGTCTCACTATGCCACATTATGCAGCTGACTATCTTGGAAGAATGTAGACCAGGCTGGCCTCGAACTCACAGAGATCCATCTGCCTGCCTCTGCTTCCCAGGTACTGGCATTAAAGGCGTGTGCCACCACACCTAGCTTCTCTTTTTGCTGTCTTAATGACCAGATAGCTATAACACTACAACATCACATCCCCATAAAAAAGCCGCTGAGAGGGATTCAGGCATTTCCACTCTTCCTGGGAGAAAGTCTACAATCGCATCCCTGAATATCAGGGAACCAGAGGCATGGGAGACCTCCAAACAGCTGCATCATCACAAAGTCTCACCCATCGTGGATGATTTTCTGGAAGATAGATAGATAGATAGATACATACATACATACATACATACATACATACATACATACATACATATGTTACATAGATAGAGATAGATACATACATACATACATACATACATATGTTACATAGATAGAGATAGATAGATACA